TTCTTGTGTGAATGTGTGGCGCCGAAAGGATGTGCCAGAAGAGTGATTGCATGGTCGAAGCTGTCGAGTCTGACCCAGCGAAGCTATTATAAACAAGTTCGTTAGTCCAAGGCATCGGCTACTCTCATGCGTTGATCAAACTTACATCGCGCCGTGGGCAACAGCAAAGACGTCACCTTCGGTAAATTTCTCAGTGTCCTTCAAGTGTCCCTTGATCAAACTCGCTAGGAGATCTTGCCTCCCGTCATCATTCCTCAGCTTGCCCTCGCTCTCCTTATTAAAAGGCCGTCTTCTCTCCATCTCACTCAAGGCAATTCGAGTGATGGGCGCATTCTTCGTATCCAACGTTGGGAATAGCTTCCACAAAGGGTTCCGCCGCAAAAGCAAGTCAACCCACGGAACCTGACCAACAATCCCATTGTACGCCTGTGAGCGGTCAATAGTGGCGATGGCATCCTCCACGTCTTTGCCCTCCGCCAGGAAACCGAAATTTCGGGAGAAAGCCACCTCTCCAAGCACGTCAAATGCAAAGTAGTGCAACCACGCCCCGAGATCAACATACTTGTCAGCCTTGTACTCCATAGGCCGCGACGTGAACCCGGCGAGTTTAGTAACCAGCAGGTCGACGGTATCATCAATGAAGGGGCTTAGCTGCTGCATCGCCGCCATGCTATACGGAACGTTGGCGACCTTCTTCTTCCTCGCGTGGGCGTCCTCGTTGACCTCCGTGAAGATGTCAGGATTCTCCGGTGGTGGAAAGACGCCGTAGAACGCCGTCTTGTAGAACCGCTTGCCGGCGCTCAGAACGTGTCGCGCTGCCTCGGGCGAGGCGATGGAGACCTCGTTCGGCGCAATACGCACGACCGGGCCATATTTCCTGTGGAGAGCTATGTGGTCGAGGTGTGTACGTCGCGATGCGGTAGATAGGACTTTCCATAAACGGGTCGTTGAGGCGATGAACGGCCCGGGATATCGACGGAGCGGAGACAGGTAGCGGGTGCGGAAGACGTTGACTAACACAGCGAGAGGGAGCAGGATCGGCCAGTACTTTCGGAAGAAGAGCCCGGCAACTTCGGTGTAAGTGTGACTGGTGTCATTCGGGTCTAACGCGTCTATTGGGGAGTCCATGGTTGGCCGGGGCTTTGACTGACAAAGCTAGAATAGGCACCGTCGAGATACCTAGGTGTTATCAACCTTTACAAATTTACCGCGAAGTCGAGCAGCAAGATCACGACTCGGGCCTCTGATGAACGACTCACGCCAAGGTTGGACGTCACGGATGGCACGACATAAATATCTTGTCTTCGTACTCCATGTACGTTATTTGCGCCAGGCAAACCGCAAACCCGGTCAACCATCTCGTACATAAATCCGTCTTACAAGCCCGTTCCGAAACCCAAAGACCTGACATCACCAAACCTTAGAAGGACTGCTGGAAAATCACCATTCTCTTGCAACTCGAAATTACGTCGGCGACACAACTGGCGTCCGAGGAAAGCTTAAACGGCCAATGAAAGAACTGCCGACGCGAATTGGTCATTGCGAGCACGGGGAGCCTGGAGGTGGTGATGCGGGGAGGGCGGGCGATGCGGAGGTGGCTTTCGTCACCGGGTCATCCTGGGGAAGTTTAGCCAGAGATAGACTACGGAATTACGGAATTAGACGTCCACGCTGCCGGATGTGCAACTTTTGCGAGAACGATTCCAAGGAGAGAGGGCGTGATGCTGTCAGCCTGTGGTACTATAGGAATCTATTGCAGACCGGAGAGGATGTTATTTCTGGAATCAGTCGGCAGCACCGGTAGACTTTGATATCACGTCGGCCTCGAGGGTGACAGCGTGGCTAGAATGGTAGTCATTCTGGAACTGATGTTGCCAGCAATGTTTCCACCAACGAACGCAAAGGGGCAAGATAGTATGCCTGGAAGCTGCCAGGAGTGACCATTCGAACTTCAGATGGAACCTCCAGAGTTCCGCTGAACTAACTGGTGCCTATCGAGAGATCAGAGAACCGCCCGAAAGACACCAACATCAAAAGTATCAAAGACGGGCCGAACCCAAGACACCGGGTTGTGGGTTTACTTCTGCAAGGGGAAAAAAAGAGACGATTTTTTTCCTTTATTACCGTGACCGTTGGAACGCAGTCGAGTTCCCCAGATCGGCGGACACGCGGTGACGGAGCCTCAAGTTCGATCTAATCTCAACTACCGAGTCCGCCCTGCGCCCGCATTGCGGAGCATATGGGTCCCACCCTTCATCACGGGGAGAGGTTTTGACAGATCGGAAACTTCTCGGCAACGGGTCATGGCCAGGACCCCTCCTGTCTTACGTTGTCTCCTGCGTAGACGCTCGGATTCCTCTCTTTGATCGATAATTGGGGGGGCACAGATCGAGAAGAGGACACTGCGAATCGGGATTGGGCACTTGGCAGCGGGATCGTAGACAGAGACGAGACAGCCGCGGAAGAAGAAGAACCAAAAAAGATCCACAACCGGGAACTGCGGGAAGGTAGACGCGGCGGGATACCGGGCTCCCACTGCATCACCGGCCGGGTGATAGCCCGAGCTTCACTTTCGCGGGGTGATTCGGGATGGGGAACGGGCGTACGACGTTATGGACGGGACTTATGGAGGTCACGGCATTTTCTGCTTGAGGTATGGGTTTCCACAAGGAGGTTGGGTTGGTCGTTGTGAGCACTCGCCAAAGCCTGAACTTCCCGAGTCAGGCTTCCCCATTGGAAGCACAGGTCGTGTTCTTTTCCCTGCCGAGGAAACAGAGAGAGAATACGACGTTTGCCTTTGCTTTACGGATAACGTGGGAGAGGATACGACGGGCGACCTGTCGTCCGGCGCCAGCATGGTGTCTAGGCGTTCGACCAACCACCTGCCCACGGGCTACGGAAACACGATCATCGATCCCTCTCCTCTTGGGGGAAAGCATGGCCCTTTGTGAGCTTCTTGACTCGCTAGTGTTGGAAATCTTGTGACACCAACGGCTGTGATTTGCCAGCTCGTTTTTTGAAGAGGTACGAACGAAACGTCTCTGAGTCGACTCGAGTCAACTGAGGTTTGACAGAGAACAAAAAAAGAGGTGTCCCCTTATGCCAAGTCTGGGAGCCGTGGTCACGTTGTGGTTACGGGCCAGATTAGTCCAGCGACGACTCGGATTAGTCCATACTGAACAAGTTGTACGGAAATAATTATCACCGCATCTCAATGATCTGAATCTCATGGCCAGGTCGAGAGCATTATCACAGCCCAGCCCCCTTGGGATATTACGATGCGAATTATCCAGACTGCTACGCTATGTCGTCAGGGCTGTCCAGCGGTAGCATCTCTGATTCGCCCGGGTAGCTTGGATACCCATGAGGCTAGGACTGCAATCTGTCTTCGCTTATGATCACGAACCGTCCGCGGCCTCTTCCGAGGTTTGGATAATTGACCACGTTGAGGAAGCCGTTAACGTTACTGTCATTTATCAATGGTCGGGGGCCGCCCCGAGGGCCGAGTGACAATGGAGTCTGAAGAACGACGAGATAGGTATTCGTGGAGGAGGCAGGGGAAGAAAAGAAGGCAGGGTCCCCCGCTCCAAGACGACAGCGGGCGTCCGAGCTGTCCGACACAGCCAAGAGCATGATATCCAAAGAAGCAGGAGGGGAGATGATCCGCGGCCAGACCCGGGGTCTGGCTGAACCTTGATTTTTCTGTGTGTAAAAAAGTGTGGACTTTGAGTCTGTGAGCTACCAGCTTTGACGGACGAGAAATGCGGCCCCGCCAGCGAGGCGGCTTGAGTTTCGAGGGCTTGCCAAGGGCCCCGGGATGCTCCCAGAAACGTTCCGCCAGCGGCAGGGAGTTGCTAGAGCCAAGTTTGACTGAGCTCACCATAGTTAGAACACCCAGGGAGGGAAAGGTTAGAGGGCGTGGAGGGGTATGGCTTCTCATCCGGTTCGGTCTCTTTGAAAAGCCCCCCCCTGCAGGGACGGTTTCCCACAGAGAGCCCTAAAATCTGGGGTTGGGTTGGAGGAGGAGTGGTGGTTCAGCTCGTAGGGCAGGCCACGGTACCGATTCGTAGAGCCTCCCTGTGGCTTGTTGATAATCAGAGAAAAAGGAAGCAGAGAGGTGTCGTTAGTCGTTATGATACGATCATGTGGAAAGGATGGGGCTGGACCTTCTCGCCATGGTAATATCTCTGCCCTAAACCTTGACGATGGCCTTGAGTCTGCCCAGCGATTCGACTCTCTTCGGATGGGACTATGAAGGATGAACTACGCGACACTCGGGTTCCGCCCGAAAGTTTACATTGCATGTCTGATGCGCAAGAAGAAGTTCCAGTAGCTTCTTTTGTATAGCATAGGCACATGTTTCCTAATCTGTTTCTCTGCGAGTCAACAACCACGTTACAGCCCGAGCCCGTGAAACCCTGAGGCGTGAACATCTTTCCAAATCAAACTTGGGACGTTCTAGGGGCAAAAATGGGACATTTGGCAATCTCGATGGCTGATGGCTGAGGACGCGCGCCAAGCCTCAAATGCCCACTCGTGATGGCGATGCCTCGCCTCATTGACACAGTAGTCCTAGAGTGAGAAGGGCCTGGAGCGGCGATAGAGATGCCGTTGTCTGCCTGCCAAGAAGAAAGATTTGGCGACGGTGCGACGCATCCCTTCCTGAATGCTCGCAGCAATGCCTAGGTCTAAGGTTGCCAAGCCGCAAGGCAAGGGGGCAACTCGGGGATACTGTCATTGGCAAAGGCTGAAGAGGAAAAGCGCGGCTGGCGCATGAGCCAAGCCAAGTCCAGAAAGCGGCATTCCGTTCCGATGCCATCTAATCGAAGCCCATGGTTGCCAAGGCTTAGGCCCCAATTGAGGTCGATTGTGAAGGGTTCTGAAGTTTCTGTCACCGTTTGTGAGGCTCCTTTGGCTTGATCACCGCGCGCGAACGTTGGACGGGGGGAGGGGAGGGGAGGGGAGGGAATTGCGTGGAGTCATCTTGCGTTTCGCCCAAACTTGATGCTTGGCTTAAGCTGGGAAGAACCAAGGACCTTGCCGTGCAAGCCGGTAAGTGCTACCACGAAGCTTTCGACTGACTGCTTGTCGCATTTTTCCCTAGCCCGGAGGCGCCTAGCGTCCTGGGGAGGGATTGTAAAGTGTGTTTAACAGATGCGGGCTAACGGGGTGGAAAGGCTAATAATATGGTTGATTTGACTGACTATTGAGACTGTAGGGTGTGTTGTCAGACTCGGTTGCAGACAATACGCAGTACGTTTGGTTGTCTATGTGCTTACGTGCTTGGCTTTGGAGACCTGTTCCTGTGAGATTATGTCGAGAATGAACAATCTCGTTCACTCCGGTGTTGTTGATCCAGACCTTGATGTCTTGGGTTTCTCGTCCCTGGAGTCTATTGTGCACGTTCTTTTGGGGGCTAAATCAGCATCTGCCGGGATAGGGGCTAATTATTCCTGGCCATCATTGCCTCCCATTGAGGCACATGGGAAAGGTGCAGTGCAGATCGAGACGGAGAGAGGAGATTGAGGCCATAGTGTCGGGAGCGGTATCTGGCCCCTCCCACGTGGGACAATCAAGGGAAGCAAATTGCCTCCGGTGGAGTTGTCCAGGATGACGACTCAGCTGTCAGCTTAGAAAGCGTGATCTCTCAACTGTCCTGGCATGTGGCCATTTTAGCGGCATGTCATTGTTATGGACGAGGGCTCGACATCCATGTGCCCATCTTATTGCTTTAATAGATTCTCTCAGACCAGAACGCAACACCAGACATCTTTGAGGCGTCTTGGAAGGTCATTAGATCATTGGGTAATGGTTAGCAATACCTCGCTTGTAGTCCTTGCAGGCTTGTAGTGGTTTGCATGTCCTTGAACCCTGGACTCTGGAGATGGGGTTAGAGGGGGGATAAACCCGCTGCATAATCATCCTTGTATCCCACGGAATCACTGCGGACCTGCGGACTTGCAGGCCCCCTTCTCTACACTCTGCTTGCTGCGACGAACCAGGACAAGCTTGGCGGCTAAAATAGGCTTGGGTCTGATTGATGAACGTGACGGGTGGGCGAGAGATGGGTATTTCTAGCCACCTGATACGGCAGACATTATCAATGCTAAGCCGTAGATGTCGAGACATAGGCTCCGCAGATCAGGAAATATTGACGACTTGCAGGATGGTACCAGGTATCCGTTCACCACAGAAGCTCAAGCAGCGTGCAGATTGCAGCGCCCCATGCCTGCAGAAACCTTTCCCCGGTGCCCGCAAGTCTGCAATACCTAGAGGCTAGTTCCCAGGAATAGAACATCTGTTGTTGAACGACACTTCGTCTCTGAGACACCAACCTCGTGCTGGTTCCTGATTTGCGTGCCAACATAGGACGCTCCAAGTCTCGACCAGTCTAGTCGTCAGGGACACCGAAACAAGTGGCACAGAAACAAAAAGAAGTCGGAACAGTCCATATCTCGCTCTGTGCCCATGGGCTGATTCCCACGGTGCCACCCCGCGCCATCTCTCAGCTCCTCCCAGCTCTGCCCCAGTTCTGTCACCGGGACGCGGGCCCCCGGGAGCTAGCCCCAAGACGCCAAAGCCAGGGTCTCGATCAACCCGGCTACTATCTTGTTTGCGCAAATGCTCAGAAGCAGGCCAGGTCGAGGGCTGGGAGTACCGGTACGAAGTAAGTGTACTTGTGAGTTGTGCGAATACCCATCGAGCGTTGTTTCCAACTTCACTAGGCTCGCAACATTCACTGCACGTTCATCCTCAGCCTGTCTGCCAGGGCAGACGACACACTTTGGTTCTGGTTTGAGCACAAGCGCACGAATCGTGCCAGAGTCTGAGGGGCACATCAGAGTGCGCAAGAGACGGTAGAAATAAGTTAGACAGCAAGGCGGTTCGTGCTCTCCATGCACATGGAGAAGATGAAATGACATCAAGCCCCCTCGGTGCCAGCATGAGCCGGGAGCTCCCCTGCCACCCAGCAACAATGACACTGATGTCCAAGACTATCTACCTATTGCTTTCTCTCGTCGCTATAGCACCATCAAGTGGCATCACCTAGGGTATTGATGGACAGCATAAAGCCTAAGAGCGAGTATTCGTACGGGCCAGCAGTAGGCGGGCTGGAAGAAACGACCCGCAAGCCCATCTGATCTTCGACAGGCTGCCCTGAATTTCGGGGGCATCACAGCGCTCTCCTCCACTCCTTGGATTCATCATCGTGGGCCCCCCCAGTCCCGGTCTTAGTCCCCAGAACATCCTCTGATCCTCCACTCTCTGCGGATATTCATACTACCTAGTCTCTACGGGACTACTACTAGTAGTAAGCCTATGGATACAGGTACTCCATACAGTTACCCAGGCCTGAAGACTTCCATTTTGCGGTGGCCCTCTCTGGAGTCTGGCATGCGTGTCTCTCCTCGCTTCTGCCCTTGCTTTAACACAAAGTCCGTGCGAGTGCAAGGGAAAAAGTCAAAACGGGCCACTCTTTTTCTGCTTCCCAAGGGCCAACGGGCGTGCCCATATTGTGACTGCACCGCCTCGACGTTTCAGGGGGGGAGCAGTGTTGCAAGCAAGGCCGCTGGTTGAAGCCAAGCGATGGAAGCGTAGCGTTCAGAGAGACTCACTGAAGGGCCAGCATACAACTATGTCGATACGAAAAAGTGTGTACGGAGTAGTCTTTACGTACGCGGATATCATAGAACGTCGGAAGTACCATACAGGCTGTACTGACTATTCTCACAGGAAGACATGTGCGAGGCCAAGGCTTCCATGCTTGTGCTTTGCTCGGGCTGACGAGCAAGACAGGCTTCGTTTCCCTTTCTCCTCATCTTCTATTCCCACTCACCGAGTCACCACTCACCACTCACCACTCAGCAGTCTCCTTTGCTCTCTCTGCTGGATCTTTCGTACTCTACTTCTGATGCGCACGGACTGGCGCATGTATTGCCAGCTAGCATCCGTAGACGCTAGCTCTGTATACCCGCATGCGGTCGCCAGCCCGCCAGACATCGATCCTAGATGGTGGCAGCTGAGTGAGAGAGAGGGTGAGAGGGAAGAGGGAGAGAGAGGAGCCTGAGAAGATGGTGGAGGGGAATTCTGTTAGTGCTGGTACATCAGCACACCCCATTCTGCCTTTCAATATGCCAACAGAAATGAGCATTGAAGATACTGGAGGCATGTATCCGTACATGGCTGGCTCCGGTTACTGATGAAGGCCGTAGTCGGGGACCCCTAAATTTGTTCCGCCTTTCATCATCAAATCATTACCTTCTGTCACCTTCATCATCCTTCTCTGCGCCAAACGAGCGAGCAAAGCGGCGTTCCAAGCCATAGAAGCCAAGCAAACAGAATACCCTCCAGCACAGCCGTTGCCTCGCGGCGGCTTTGCCTAATCCAAAATCACCATCCCACGTCTCCCATTGCCTTCCCCATCCCATCCTGACCAATCCCTACCTTGTCTTTTTGCTTGCCCACACACCCCAAGCTGGCTGCTTGTTCCGTTCCCCTAGACTCCTGGTAGCCTTGACCCTCTCTGGGTCTACCTGCTCGTCCTCTCTCTTCCCCGTTCTCCTTCGTCCAACCCCTGGTTCCCCCCCTCCGTCAGGTTACACTTCTCAAAAGGGGGGGTTGCAGGATACATTGTCTGTAGTACTTGACTTGACCACCACCCAAGCCCACCAAACAAGACCAAACCAAACGCCTCGAGTCTCCGTCGTCCCGATACCGAATATCAATCCCTCATGATCACCATGGATCAGACCGCTCCCTCAGCCTGACTGCTCGCTCGATCAAATCCATGCGCGCCATGCCCGAAGCTTAATCTCACATCCCAGGCCCCCTACCAGTAGACTGTAGTCTTGTCTTGTCTTCCTCCTTCTGCCCAACAACCATAACATAACATCACTTCTACATCCCATTTCCTCCTTAACTCCTTCGGCAATTACTGATCTTCGCCCGTCCGCTGCAACGCCGGTTCCCCAACGTACTCTTCAACGCACTCTCGACTTGCCAGTTACATTCAACGAACCCGGACTACACACACACATACCTTCTCTGCCCGCACCACCAAAAGCCCACAGCATCAACCCGAGGACGACGGCTATTCAACCTTGGCAATACAGAAATCGAGGAGGATTCACACCTTGAAGAGAGACAGAATCCCGAGAACGCAACGCTTACACGTATTAATCATCAACGACCCGCCACAGGCCTTTATCGACCCAGATTTCTTGCGTGTCCTGGCCGTGTCACTCTTGTTCTCTCCCCACAGAACTTTGTCTGTTGGAGCACATCGAATGGACTACCCCACCTGAATCTTGATTCACAATGGTGAGTGCAGCAGCTTCTCGTCATCGCCTATCTCCGTCGAGGCATTCCACTTTCATCGGGTGTTGAGTATTGATGTACTATCATGAACGTCATCGGCGTTCATGATATATCATCGTCGCCCTCGGTCACCTTGATCACTCGACCATGTGTTCCCTTCCTTGACCACCAACCACCGGGGTGCCTCGGCGCCTCTGCCCCTCCGTCGTCACCATGCTGACCCTTTCCGTCTCCAGCCCGTCGCAAAGGCGTGCGCGCCGTGCTACTATCAGAAGTCAAAATGCACCTTCTCGGAAGGTAACCCGCAATGCGATCGCTGCATGATGAACGGCCGGGACTGCGTCTTTGTACGCCCCGTGCCAAGGTCAGCAGTCAAGGGGAGGTCAAAGGTCGCAGTTAGGAGCAAGATCATGGGCGCCGGTGTGCCATGTCCGAACCCGATCCCTCGAAAGGCCAACGTGATCGTCCCGACGACAGCGCCGCCGACGACGACAACAACGACGACTGTCGCCCGCGTTAGCTCCCCGCCGTGTTCCGTATCACGAAAGCCGAGTATAGCGACGGCCTCGAGCGTCGGCAGCCCTCCCGACGATGCTTCGTCCGACTCGTCAACCGAATCGGCATCGAGTCCTCCTTCCAAGATCCTTGAGTCACTCAGTCCATACGGTAGCACGCTGGGCCGTTTAGATACCGTCGAACGCAATTCCTTATCGCGATTACTGCACAAGTCCAACTTTATGCAGTACTTCATCAGCCCAACATTCGTCGACAGCATGCAGCTGGACATGACAGTCCATCTGTTTTCCATGTTCGACCAGGGCAAGGACGCCTACATCGCCATGTATAGCGCATTCGCGTCGTCAATGGGACTGGAGACGGGCGAATACGACCCGGAAGCGAATCTACACCGCGGCGCAATGGCTGTCGAACACCTTCGATCCTGTCCACTGCCTACACTCAAGCGCGACGAACTGCTACCGTGGGCAGGGTTGGGATTGGGAATCGTGTACTTCTCCAACATGGCCCTCGGCACCAGTGCGGCGCCTGTACGACGATACGTGCTGAGCCACATTCGCCATCTTCTGGGAACCTCACAAATATCCAGCTCACGGACACACTACATCCTCGTATACATGACGGCTGTCGACATCAACGAATGCCTGATGCAGCGCGAACTCCCAGTGTGTGGAATCGCACCTCCCGAAGCG